GAGTGTAGTGGCACACTCACGGCCCACCATAGCCTCCACCTGCTGAGTTCAAGCGATCCTTCCACCTCAGCCTCCAAGTAGTTGGAACCATAGGTGTGGGCCACCAAGCCCGGCTAATTTTTTGATTTACTGTAGAGATGAGAATCACCAAGTTGCTCAGGCTGGTCTCAAACCTGTGGGCTCAGGCAATCTTCTCACCTCCACCTCCCAAAGTGCCGGGATTACAGGCGTGAGACACCATGCCCGGCTAAAAGTGAGTAATATATATATATATATATATATATATATATATATTTGAGTTGAAGTCTCAATCTGTTGCCCAGGTTGGAGTGCAGTGCATGCTCATGGCCACCACAGCCTTGACCTGCTGGGCTGAGGCGATCCTTCCACCTCAGCCTTCTAAGTAGCTAGAACTACAGGCATGTGCCAGCACGCCCAGCTAATTTTTTTATTTAGTGTTGAGACGAGGTCTCACCAAGTTGCTCAGGCAGGTCTCGAACCCTGGGCTCAGGCAATCCTCTCGCCTCAGGTGAGTAATATTTTAATGCGACATTTAAAAACTCAAACTTAATGCAAAAATATCTATGATGAACAAAATGTCAAAATTTTCAACAAAGCCAGGATTAATGTGGCCTGGCACTACATGACCCAAGAGGACTCTTCTACCAACACCCACACCAAGACGGTGGCCCTAAGTCAGTACCCTCAAACCAATTCATTATGTGCTCAAATATAAAGTGCTAGGTGCCTTAGAAGTAAAATAGGATTTAAAATTCCCCAAGAAGTGTAAGGTTTCCAAAAACAGACCGTCAAGGCTCAAATCTTGGGAGACAGTATTTGTATAACCTGGAGCGATTAAATTGACCTTTTTCCAGCTGGGCTCAGTGGCTCAGCCTGTAACCCCTGCACTTTGGGAGGACGAGGCGAGTAGATTAACTGAGCCCACGAGTTCGAGACCAGCTTCAGCAACATAGCGAGACCTCATCTCTACAGAAAATCAAAATATTAGCCAGGCGTGGTGGCACGCATCTGTAGTCCCAGCTACTCAGGATGTTGAGGCAGAAGGATCACCTAAGCCTGAGAGGTCGGAGCTGTGGTGAGTTGTGATCGTGTCACTGCACTCCAGCCTGGGCAACAGAGTGAGACCCTGACTCCCCCCAAAAAAGAAGAATTTAACAGCCACTACAATGATGCCCTATCGGGGTGCGATGATTATGATGTGCACCGATTAACATTCTGAGTCCAGAACAGGGTCTGGCCCATGGCGAGAGCGCAAAGTATAAGACGCCGGAAATGTCAGCTATTGTAATTACGGTGTTCCTCCTCCCCAGAGCCTGTGCAGTGGAAATTATGTTCCCCATTTCCCAGATAAGAAACCAGGACTCAGAAAGGTCACATGGTGGCTCAAGGCCGCAGGCAGTCTGGGGGAAAGTGAGGACTCATGTCTGATTCAGCCCTTGCTCTGCTGGTCACACTTTGCTGCCCACAAATAATATGCATTTTGTGGACAAAATTTCACAGGAGGCAGAAGAGTCCTCTTGGGCTGTCGAGTGTCAAGTCACATAAATCCTGGCTGTGCTTAAACTTCTGACGTTTTATGCATCTATAGGACGGTTTCAGTCTTTTTTTTTTTTTTTTAAGTGAGAAAGCAGTATGTATTGAGAGGTCAGAGAAGTACCCACAGTGGGAGGGGACCTCAGCCTATTTTTAGTTTAGCAAAGCATCCATTTAGGTGTGCTTTTTCATCTTGTCCAATTTTAAGCATCTTTTTAATAGTCGATTCATCTAAGACCCCTTCATGTCAAGCAAACAGGACACGCCAAGTGGCTAATTAGAAATGAGGATGAGCCGAGTGCGATGGCTCACATCTGTAACCCCAGCACTGTGGAAGGCAGAGGCTGGAGGATCTCCTGAGTCCAAGGGTTCAAGACCAGCCTGGACAACTTGACGAGACCTCGTCTCTACAGTAAATTTTTTAAAAATTAGCTGGAGCCGGGCTCGGTGGCTCAGCCTGTAATCCCGCACTTTTGGGAGGCTGAGGTGAGTGGATTGCCTGAGCCCGCGGGTTCAAGACCCGCCTGGCCAACTTGGCAAGACCTCATCTCTACAATAAATCAAAATGAGCTGGGCGTGGTAGTGCGTGCCTGTAGTTCCAGCTACTTGGAAGGCTGAGGCAGAAGGATCGCCAGAGCCCAGCAGGTCGAGGCTGCGGTGGCCGGGAGCGGCCACTGCACTCTATTCTGGGCGACAGAGTGAGACTCCAACTCAAAAAAAAAAAAAATTAGCTGGGTGTGGTGGGATGCGCCTATGGTTTCAGCTACTTGGAAGGCTGAGGCAGAAGAATTGCCTAAGCCCAGCGAGGCTGTGGTGGCCATGGGCAACACAGGTCGAGGCTGTGGTGGCCATGAGTGTGCCACTGCACTCCAGCCTGGGTGACAGAGTGAGACTCCAACTCAAAGAGAGAGAGAGAGAGAGAGAGAAATGAACACATTCAGAGAAAAGCAGGCATCTACTGACAAAGAGCATAATTACCTTAAGTTATGGGAACCACGATCACAGAGCAGTAGAGGGAGAAATTCACAGACCTTTTATTAAAGTAGAGATTGACAGCACTTTGAGAGACTGAGATGGGAGAATTGCTAGAAGCCAGGAGTTCAAGATCAGGCTGGGCAGTACAGCAAGACCTCAGGTCTACAAAAAAAAAAAAAGTTTTTAATTAGCCGGATGTGTAGTCCCAGCTACCTAGGAGGCTGAGGTGTGAGGACTGCTTAAGCCCAGGAGTTCAAGGCTGCCATGAGCTATGATTGTGCCACTCTATACATGAGTCAGACTCTGACTCATAAAATGAAAACAATAATAAAAACCCCAGCTGTCCCTCAGCCTCCCAAGTGCCTGGGACTACAGGCATGTGCCAACACGCCCGGTTCATCTTTAAATTTTTTTGTAGACATGAGGACTCACTATGTTGCCGAGGCTGGTCTTGGACTCTTGGGCTTGGTCTGTCCAAGTGTGGGATTACAGGTGTCAGTCACCATGCCCTCCAAAATGTTCTGTGTCTTGATGGCTGTGTTTTTTGGCACCCCCTTAAGTTTTGCACCTAAGGCAAGTGCCTCGCTGGCTTGCCCCTCTCCAGCCACAGGCCGGCTCCCGAGACGCTGGAAAGCGGAGAGCCCGGCTCTGCCAGCCACCCGAGTGCCTGTGCTTCTCCCCAGGTCTCCCTGCAGTACAGCTCCAGCGGCAAGTGGCGCCACACCTGTGGAGGGTCCCTGGTGGCCAACAACTGGGTCTTGACAGCCGCCCACTGTATCAGGTAACTGCCACTCCCCAGGTGCTCAGCCTGCTCGCTGGCCTGTGCTCTGGGAGGATGTGTGTGTGGGGGGGTAAAAGTCCTGAACCACACTACATAAAGGAGACTTGCAAATACAACCGCCTGGCCGAGACACAAGCTGTGGTTTGATGCGGTGGCCCACGGACGGGTCACTACACCACGTGGATGGAGTGTCTTGTGCCAGGCACTGAGGAGGGGTGTGGAGGAAGGGAAGGCCGATTCCTGCCCTCTTAGCGGTGCTAGATGTGGTCTCTGGGTCTGGAATTGGGTTCCCTCAAGCAACTTGAATGACTTCCCCAAGCTTCAATACCATCACCTGCAAAGAAATTGCATAACAGAATGTCATGTGGATTAAACAAGACATGTTAAAAAGACATGGGCTGGGTGCGGTGGGTGGCATATGCCTATAATCCCAGCACTCGAGGAGGCTGAGATAGGAGAATTGCTTGATCTCAGCCTAGACAACACAGCGAGACCTTATCACCACAAAAAATAAAAAATAAAATAAATTATCCTGGCATGGTGGCGTGTGCCTGTAGTCCCAGCTACTTGGGAGGCTGGGGCGGGAGGATCGCCTGAGCCCAGGAGGTTGAGCTAGTGGGTAAGATTAAAAAAAAAAAGACATGGCACTTAGTAAGTGCTCAATGAAAGTTAATGGTAACATATAGGATAATTATAAAGATCCACAGCGAAAGAAAAGGCTCTGCAGTGCTGTTCCTTGGCTTCTTCCCCCATGACTTCCGCTCAGCATGCCCCCTGGAACTCACTGGAAGGCAGATGAGGCAACTCATTGCTGGAAGGGATCCCTTCTCTCACCTGATATACGATAAGCTCTGTGAGGGGATGGGAACAATAGCAGAGGCCGAGTCAGGAGTCCTGGCTTCCAGTTCTGGTTTCTCACTGACCGTGGGTCTGCGAGCTAGTTACGCCTCTCTGGGCCTCAGTCTCCCCATGTGAAAATTAAAGGTAGTGAGTTAAACTAGAAAAGGCCTTTGAAGGCAAATGACTTCTGTTTTCTCTGTGTTCATCTAATTCCCTCCATAATAATATAGAGTTTATGTTACTATAACTTTTGTGTGATCATTTAGAGTTAATATAATAACAATTATTATAAAGTTATAGTTATTGTGTAGTATAGTTTATGTTACATTATAACTAAGTGATTGTCCCTGGGGAAGAAAAATTCCCAAACTCCAACTAGTAGTTCATGCAGCAGTTGCTTATTTGGACCTATCCCCAATGTTATCCAAAGCTGGGTCTCAGCCTGGGCAACACAGCAAGACCCCATCTCTTAAAGAAAAAAAACCAAAAACTAGCTGGGCACGGTGGTACTCCCCTGTAGTCCCAGCTACTCAGGAGGCTAAGGTGGGAAGATCACTTGAGCCCAGGAGATGGAGGTTACAGTTGGAACTATGATCATGCTACTGCACTCCACAAGTGCAACAGAGTGAGAACCTATCTCTAAAGGAAAAAAACAAAGCCATGTCTCTGGAGGTGATGCCTTAGGGTGTCCTGGCCCGTGGGGGCCAGAGAGAGGAAATGGCAGTCAGGAGCTGACCCTCTCTGCGCCACCACCTTCTCCCAGCTCCTCCAGGACCTACCGCGTGGTGCTGGGCCGACACAGTCTTTCCACTGAGGAGCCCGGCTCACTGGCCATCAAGGTCTCCAAGCTCGTGGTGCACAAGGACTGGAACTCCAGCCAGCTCTCCAAAGGGTGCGTCCATCTGGGTGCCCTTGGGGGTAGAGATGGCAGGGAAAGAGACAGGGTCTCTCCAGGCGGTGGGCTCAGTCTCACCCCCTCCTCTACTTCTTGTGTGGGGAGGGGGAAGGAGTTCTGACACCCTAGAGGTGGAGCCAGCCCCAGAGATGTCTGGAGTGGGGGAGTGACCTGGGGGAGGGAGAAGCAGGCAAAGAAGCAAAGGGTTTCCTGCCAGTTATGCCTGCAGGTCCTCTCCTCCCTATCACCCCAAGTTATACCTGCAGCCCCCTTCCTCCCCCACCCTCCCCAGGCTCTCATTGACCTGTATCTACTCTGTGCCAAGCCCCGGGGACAAGAGGTGGCCCTGCGGGCTCCTTGACTGTCAGTGGGGTAGGACAGTCTCTCCTGCCTCCCTTTCTTCTCACGTGTTCAAAGATGTCCTGACACCTGTCGGGCATCGCAGGGGTAACATACACAGAGAGAGGGCAGGGTCTCCGAGCTCTCCAGAGCCCACAGGGCCAGAAAAAGCAACCTCCTCTTCATGTTCTGCCTCCTCACTGACCCAGGAACGACATCGCCATGCTCAAGCTGGCCCAGTCCGTCTCCCTGACCGACAAGATTCAGCTGGCCTGCCTTCCTCCTGCCGGCACCATCCTTCCCAACAACTACCCCTGCTACGTCACGGGCTGGGGGAGGCTGCAGAGTAAGTGGGATTGGGAGCCCCGAGGCCCGAAAGGGACAGGAGGCGATGTCACCCCTGCCCAGCCAGGGCCTCTCACCCCACTCCACATCCCTTGCAGAGGCAAGGGAGCATAGGCTGATGGGTCTGCCTGGGTTCACATCCCAGCTCTCCCACTTCATAGCTGCGTCACCCTGGACACATTACCGAGCCTCGCGTGCCGCAGTTTCCTCATCTGTAAAATGGGGATGGGAATGCCACTTACATCAGAGAGCTGTTGAGAGAACTGAAGATCATCCATAGGAAGTCCTCAGGCATGTAGTAGCCACTGTGCTGCTGTCACCACCCCCATGACGGGATGGCATGACATTACATGGTATCCTCTCTGGATGGTCCAAGGCTCAGGCTTCCGGGGCTCGAAAAAGGTCCCGGAGCCCTCATGGGACCCTCCGCTCCCGAGTCGAAACCTGTCCCGTGTGCCACTTGGTCTTGCCACTCAAAACCTGGCCGAGTGAGGGTCTCCTTTAGACTCAGACCCAAGGGGCCAGAAATCCAACTCGGGCAAGCCACTCTGGAACCTGGGTTTCCTCACCAGTAAAATGGAAATACTGTTGAAGACAGAAAAGATGCTACATGTGAACATGCTTTACACACTGCAAAATGTTATACAACCATCAGTGACCTGTGAACTAGAGTGGTCCTGGGCAAGCTCTAGGCTTCGGAGTCGGAAGTGATGCATCCATTAATACTCATCCTGCCATTCGTGGCGGTGGTAGTAATAATGGTTAGAATGGCGGTGGCGTCATTGGGGCCCATTAGGAAAGCTCTGTCTTCGCCACACCAGAATATTTTTCCCAACTGGGGGACTCCAAATGCCAGTGAGCTCACTGCCGAATTTAAGATAAGGGACAGAAACTCACGGAGCTAGCAAAAAAGAGAATATTAATATGTTCCAAGGATTTAAGAGTCTCAACCCAAGGGCAGAGACACAGTGAAGCATCAGGAACAGGCTAGAAACAGGGCCTGAAAGCCTGGAAGAAGCTCAGGAAGCCCTCCCCCAGAATGTCTTTTCTTGGGAGGTCGACTTCAACCCTGCCTGCATGGAGGGGAAGGTCGACCACCGCCGACAGCCTCGGCTTCCCTCCTCTCCCGCTGGGATCGCTTAGGCCCCACCCCAGATTCTTATTGGCTTAGCCCGAGTCAGGTGTTCACGGCGAACCAATCACCAGTGGCCAGAACATTAACCAATCAACTGAGAGGAGAGAGAGGCATGGCCGCTTCCTCTGCTGCCCTATGGATGGAAGAGAGTGGCAGGGGCCAGAAGGAAGGGGCTGGACAGAAGACCCAAGAGGTGGCCACTACCTCCTTTTTTCCCAGGAGCCCCTTCCTCCCAGTAATGCCTTCTCTCTGATTCGCTTCAGCCAACGGGGCTTCCCCTGACATCCTGCAGCAAGGCCGGCTGCTGGTGGTGGACTACGCCACTTGCTCCAGGTCTGACTGGTGGGGCAGCTCCGTGAAGACCAATATGGTCTGCGCTGGGGGTGATGGCGTGATCTCCAGCTGCAACGTGAGTACCGAAGATCAGGTGGCCCCGCTCCACAACACAATGGGGGTAGGGAGGGGGGAAGCTCTTGGGTCCTGGCGTCCATCCTCCCACCTCCGGGCAGAAGCACCCGGAAATAGTTCCAGAGTATCAGAACCCGACCTTTGTCCTTGTAGTCTCTAGACAAAATGTCTTGAGATTCCCTTGTAGTGTCCTCCCATCTCGCTGCTGGGAAGTCCTACTTTGGGTCTCATTTTACTGTCTCTCATTACTGTCATTCCTCTTATTCTTTACTCAGTAGGAAGAAAGCCAAGGGGAAGTATCCTTAGGGTTAAGGCTTTTCTAAGATGGTTTATGTGTTTAATTAATGTCATTAATGGCCCAATGCGTCCCCTTAAAGTGGCTGCCACAGAAGCCTTCCCGGAGACAGGAAGCCAAAAAGAATTGCTGTCTGGTGGACTTTGCTGTGAAGTGGGGACAGAACGGGAAGGAGCTTCACACACCCTCCAGATCACACTATCCAGTACACACTCTGCCCACATGGACCCCTCAGGAAACTCCCTGGTTTTGAGAGGAAGTAGCCAGTGGTGGTTGGGAGAGTGGCAGCTCAACTCTGGGAAAAGCACTCGGTGTCTTAACTGCCTGTACAACCTCCGACAAGTCTCAACGTTTAAAGACCAGTTTTTCCTCTTCACTGAACTGGGGATATTAACAATAGTATCCCCAGGAAGTTTTTGTGAGGATTAAATGAGATAAGGCATAGAAAGCGCTTGGCTCAACTGTGGGCTCACAAAAAGAATCAATATTAGGTCTTGTTGGGATTATGGTGTCATCTTGAGCTGTGACCACGAGGACAGAGTGACCTGCAGTAGAATAAGGGAAATGCATCAAGAACAAGGGTCCTAACGGGCAGCCCGTTCCTCCACTGACTCCCCTCCCCCACAACCCTGGCCTTCCTCAGGGCGACTCCGGCGGCCCACTGAACTGCCAGGCGGCCAATGGCCAGTGGACGGTGCATGGCATCGTCAGCTTCGGGTCTACCCTCGGCTGCAACTACTATCACAAGCCCTCTGTCTTCACACGGGTCTCCAACTACATCGACTGGATCCATTCGGTAAGAACCGGGCAAGGGCTGAGATCCAAGGCACTGGCCTGCCCACCTGGGGTCTGAGAACTCCCACCCTTTCCTGCTTCCTCCTGAGAGCTGGGCAGGAGCCCAGTGGAGGAGGTCGCAGACCTGGGCAACCCCTGCTGGGCTCCCTACGGGGCCCCATAATTTCAGTGTGTAAAATTGAGTGAAAAGGAACAGAGGGTGGGCCTGTCAAAGAGGTTGAAAGCGAGGGTTACTCCTCAGCATTGAGTGGATTCCGTTGATGGTTAGTGGGGTGTTTGTTTTTGCTACTCTGTGTAGTCGCAGACCCCACTATCCAGGGCTCTAAACAGTCAGATGTATCTGCAAAGCCCAAAACCTGATCACTTGAGACCCCCGCACAGCCTTAATATGGAATATTAGTTCCTCTGAAGGGTCCCAGCTTTCTGTAGGGTGACCATCCAGGTTTACCTGACACTGAGGTTTTCTGGGACAGACTTCCAGACCAGTTTTACATGGAGACCATCCCCGGCAAGAGGGGCTGAGTTGGCCAAGTCCCCCTATTTTCCTCAGAGATCTGTCTCCTGTGAGCTTCCATACCTGCTCAATTCTATTTTTTTTTAACAAGTGCACTTTTTTTTATAATAACCATAAAATTAACTATTTAAAAAGTAGGTGACCTGGGCACGGTGGCTCATACCTGTAATCCTAGCAATTTGGGAGGCGGAGGTGAGAGGATTGCCTGAGCCCACGGGTTCAGGACCAGCCTGGGCAACTTAGCAAGACCTCATCTCTACAATTAAAAAAAAAAATTAGCCATGTGTGGTAACACACGCCTGTAGTTTCAGCTACTTAGAAGGCTGAAGTGGAAGCATTTCCTGAACCCAGCAGGTTGAACCTGCGGTGGCTGTGAGTGTGACACTGTACTCCTGCCTGGGTGACAGAGACTCCCACCCCACCCCCCCAAAAAGTAGCTGGCACCAATATTAAGGATACAAGCTGCAGTAAATAGAAGCAGCTGGAACTATAGGAAGCGTCGTCCCAAGAAAGGGTATGCCTGGGGTAGGGGTGCAGTGCCTGGTGATGGATGCTGGGAGGGGAGAGGAAGATACTCTGCCAATTGGTGTACTTTTTTCATGACCCTCTCACATTGCCACCACCTCAGTTTGCCCTTCTGTGAATGGGACTTGAACTAGACCAGGGCTTCCCAACATATTTAGGAGCCAGAGCAAGTGGGAGTTGTGTTGTTTGTGGCAAAGCTTAAAAGGAGAAAGCTGGCATCTGACACAATTAAGTTTAATGTGCAGAGAACTGTCTAACTGAATTAAACTGACACTTATAAAACCATATATGAGGCCGGGCATGATGGCTCACACCTGTAAGCCCAGCACTCTGGGAGACCGAGGTAGGAGGATTGCTTGAGCTAAGGAGTTCGAGACCAGCTTAGGCAACATAGCGAGATCTCATCTCTACAAAAATAAAATAAAATGATTAGCCAGATGTGGTGGTGCACGCCTGTAGTCCAGGCTACTTGGGAGGCTGAGGTGGAAGGCTTGCCTGAGCCCAGGAGGTCGAGGCTGCAGTGAGCCATGATTGTGGCCCATCACTCCAGCTGGGTGACAGAGACTCCCAACTCAATAAATATATACATGAAACTGCAGCCACAAGCATGTGGTCACAGGAGGAAAACTATAGTCCAAATAAGCAGGTGGCTCTTTCCAAGTTTTCCTATCAACACTTACCAGCGCCTTGTTCATTTGTCTATCTGCTGGCATCTCTTTGCCAACAAGTGGTCGCAGGCATCAGATTTCAAAAAAGTTTGTTGGAGAAAAATGGAAAATCAAAAAGAGAGTAGCCATTAAACATGAATTGGGTTGGGTTGGGGGGGTTTTTTGTTTGTTTTTGGTGGGATAAATTGGGGGAAAACCATGCTTCCCTTTTGGCAGAGGGAAATCTACTCTGGCTTTTGAAGTACCACCAGCATTTCTTTTTTTTTGAGTTGGAGTCTCACTCTGTCGCCCAGACTGGAGTGCAGTGGCCGCTCCCAGCCACCGCCGCCTCGACCTGCTGGGCTCCGGCAATCCTTCTGCCTCAGCCTTCCAAGTAGCTGGAACTACAGGCGCACGCTACCACGCCCGGCTAATTTTTTTATTTTATTGTAGAGATGAGGTCTCGCCAAGTTGCTCAGGTGGGTCTCGAACCCGCGGACTCAGGCAGTCCACTCACCTCAGCCTCCCAAAGGTGCGGGATTACAGGCTGAGCCACCGAGCCCGGCTACCACCGGCATTTCAAAGGAGCCTGGCCTGGGATGGACTGGACAGAAGGATGCCTCGGGGCCTGTTCCCAGCCAAATCCCAGGACCCTTTTCCAGCCCCAGCTGCCGCATGAGTCACCATGCAGCTGGTTCTGGCGGCACCTGATGGGCCCGAAACAGGGCCCAGGGGCAACTGTCCTGTGTGTTGTCCCAGCTTCAGTTGTTCCAGCAACAGACACAGCACAACAGAGCAGGCCAGACCCAAAAGCACAGCCAGATGGCAGCAGGGATCAACGGGCAAGCGAGCCTCGGGAGCAGCTGGGCAGAGGCCCAGCCTTCATGGGAGAGCAGACAGGGCAGGCGCAGATGCCCAGCAACGAGTTCCAGAAGCAGGAGAGGCAGGCAGCCAGCCGTCCTCAGGCGGGGGACCCCGGCAGTGGCAGAGGGGCTAGTGAACCCTTGCAGGGTCCCAGCGCAGGGACACCGTGTGCAGCTTGGAGTCATAAACAGCTGTGGCCCTGGGAGCACCTGCCTGGATAAACTCAGATGACAAGCCAAGGTCAGGAAGAGCCGACAAAAGAAATGAACAGGGAAGCTTCCAGGGGAGCCTAGTAGCCAAGGGCATCATCCTTTCAACAAGTGTCCACAGAGTGACAGAAACACATGAATCAATAGCTTCATTTTTTTTCAAAAGTAACACTCTTTGTAGACATATGAAAAGAATATAAGCATGTATCAAATAAAAAAGACATTCCCCCTCATCTTACATCTCCAATTCCACTCTCTGGAGGTAATCATTGTCAGCAGTTTGGTGTGTGGCCTTCCAGATTTTATGTGCATGTATAAAATACCTGTCAAGGACTGGGCGATGTGGCTTGTGCCTGTAGTTCCAACACTTTGGGAGGCTGAGGCAGGAGGATCGTTTGAGCCCAGGAGTTCAAGACCAGCCTGGGCAACATGAGATGTCATGTCTACAAAAAAAAAATTTTTTAATCGCTGGGCATTGTGGTATGCACCTGTAGTCCCAGCTATTTGGGAGGCTGTGGTAGAAGGATTGCCTGAACCCAGGAGGTGAAGGCTGCATGATCGTGCCACTGCCCTCTAGCCTGGGCAAAAGAGCAAGACTCCGACTCAAAAAAAAAACACACATGCACACACACACATACTCACACTGCCTGCCTCCTAGCTAAAAAATAGGCCCTAACTCTCCACACTGTTCTGCAACTTAGTTTTTTCACTTAACACCCTTTCACGTTTTACATATACCAACATCATTCTTTTGAATATCCCATGAGATGAATATAATGAACGAAGCCTTCACTGTTTCCTGGTTTTCACTCTTGCATTGCTGCAGTGAACTTCCTTGGACCTAACCCTGGCGCACTGGTCCGGGTATCTGTGCTGTAAGCTGGATCGTGAAGCTGGCATATTCAAATGTTTGAGAATGGTGAAACAGCCTCTGAAAGCATGTTATGGCCCAGCCACAGCACATGACGGTTTCTCACAAACAGCAGTTTTGATTCGAAAAACAAATGGAATCTAAAAACATGCCTATCCACATATTTGGGATATAATTTCTAGGGATTCACAGCTCCCCCTCCGCCCAAGCCCAAACAGGACTCCAGGCTAAGGATCCCTCTTTACGGGGAGACACTAACAGGTAAGAGGAAAGCTGTGGTCACATCTTTTTCTCCCAAACATCAACAGAACTCCTCCGGCAGCCATTACTGCGACATGGGCTGCTTGTGGTTCACGTGAGTACTGCAGCCCGGAAGGACAAAGATGGAAAACTGGCGAGCATGACTCTGCTTTGGGTAGATTTAACTATTTTCTTGTGTGTCTTGCAGGTGATGGCAAATAACTAACCAGCAGAAGTCCCTGGGTCTGTCTCAGGCTTGGAAAAATCAAAGCAGGAATAATATTATAATAAAGTAACAACTATATGAATCGCCTCTTGGTGAGAGTCTTATTAGCAAATCATCCTAACGCCCAGAGCCTTAGAAACAAGAAACAGGCTAGGTGCAGTGGCTCATTCCTTTAATCCCAGCACTTTGGCAGGCTGTGACAGAAAGATTGCTTGAGCCCATTAGTTCGATACCAGCCTAGGCAACATAGTGAGAACTGGTCTCTACCAAAAAAGTGGCATGCATTTGTAGTCCCAGCTACTCAGGAGGCTGAGGAAGAAGGATTGCCTGAACCCAAGAGGTAGAGGCTGCAGGGAGGCGTTACTGTGACGGTGCACTCCAGCCTGGGCAACAGGGTGAGATCTCAATTAGAAAAAATAAGAAGAAACAGGCTGGAATCAGGACAGCTTGAAAGACCTCAGGAACGGGGCCTTCTGTGGGAAGCCCAACATGTCACCTTTGCACAGCACAGTCCAGGGGATTCTTCAAGTAAGACACACGGGAGATACAGGTTCCAGGTTCCAGCCAGATCTCTCCATCAGATTAACTGATCCCTTGGACAAGAGACTTAACCTCCTTGAGCGCATGGTCCCCACTCTGTCACCTTCGTGGGATGGGACAGAGATCAAGTGAAATAAGATGTGGGGTAATGAGGCTGGGCACAGTACGCCTGTAGTTCCAGGTACTTGGCCAATCTGGGCAACATAGCGAGACCCTGAAAAGACACGAGAAAGTGTTTTGAACAAAAAGCAAGCGTCTCCGTTCTAAGGCAAACCAAAGAACTGGAGCCAAATATGGGAGGTAGCAGGCAAAAAGGTGTCCATATTTGCCTAAGATTTATTTTTTTAAGAAAAATGCAATACAGGAAAAGTGAACAATTTTTTTTTTGAGTTGGAGTCTCACTCTGTTGCCCAGAGTGTCGCCCAGCCTCGACCTGCTGGGCTCCGGCGATTCTTCTGCCTCAGCCTTCCAAGTAGCTGGAACTACAGGAGCGCGCTACCACACCTGGCTAATTTTTGATTTATTGTAGAGATGAGGTCTCGCCAAGTTGCCCAGGCAGGTCTCGAACCCGCAGGTTCAGGCAATTCACTCACTTCAGCCTCCCAAAGGCACGGGATTATAGGCTGAGCCACCGAGCCCGGCTTTTAAAGCACCCTGTGTACTTGCCGTTTTCCGTAACCCCTCCTCCCCACTCCATGAGCTTTGCCATGAAGATTCGGCCTTGGAGCTGAGGATTTACTGCCTGTGAGAGGGGAAGGGTCAACACCACCTAGGACAGAGTCTTTGACCGGGGCAACTCTGCCCCTCAGGGAACATCTGGCAATGTCTGGGGGCAGTTTTGAGTATCACAACCTGAGTGGGGAGGGAGGATTGCTCCTGGCATCTAGGGGTTAGGAGGTAGGTATGTTACCAAACACAATGCACAGGACAGCCCACTGCAAACATCAGCAGTGCCAAGACTGAGAAGACCTGACCCAGAATAAAGAAGTCCTTGGCTCTGGGTTCCAAATAGAATTTCCCATGTCTAAATTAAGGTAACGGTCTAAACGTAAAACGATTTTATTTGAAGAGTCCAGCATTGGTTTTTTTTTTTTTTTTTTTTGAGTTGGAGTCTCACTCTGTCACCCAGACTGGAGTGCAGTGGCCTCTCCCAGCCACCGCAGCCTCGACCTGCTGGGCTCCGGCGATCCTTCCGCCTTCCAAGTAGCTGGAACTACAGGCGTGCGCTACCAAGCCCAGCTAATTTTTTTTATTTATTGTAGAGATGAGGTCTCGCCAAGTTGCCAAGGCGGGTCTCGAACCTGCAGGCTCAGGCAATTCACTTGCCTCAGCCTCCCAAAGCATGGGATTACAGGCTGAGTCACCGAGCCTGGCCAAAATTAACAATTTTTAAAACTTCATTTAGAATCCACAGATTCTAGCTGTTCAGACTCTGGTAAGCCCCAGCTTGCTGAGCTAAGAGAGATGCTGGTTGGTTTGTAGCCAAAAAGCCCCTTGAGAGTTCTCAAGTGGGGGCAGTTTTGTCCCCTAAAGCATATTGGGTAGTGTCCAAAGATATTTTTGGCACCCAGCACTCAGGAGAGGTGCCGGCATCGAGTGGGCGGAGACCAGGGATGGCGCTAAACACCCCACAATGCACAGGACAGGCCCCAGCAAAGGATGACCTGGCCTCACAGGTCAGTAGCGCAGAGCAAATCCCTGCTCTGGAGAAAACACGGGGCCACAAGTCACAGCCGTGAGCTGGTGAAGAGGCCACATAGTATCCACAGCCTTCTTCTGTCCTTCTTCCAATGCTTGGCACCTGTCTCCAATCTGGAGCTTGTCTGTCACTAGTGGGGAAGGAGGAGACCCTGTGCAAGTTGCAGAGTCCTTGAGTTGTAGGAAAATCCAGGCATCTCCAGCCCTGAAGCAGGAAGTTTCTGAGGTGCAAGATAAGGCAACATGAAAGCCCTGGCTTCACTATATCTTAAAGAAAAGTTTTTTCCGGAGGAAATTAAAACAGCCAGGCATCTGTTTGTAAATTCCTTTCACCGACACAGCGTTCGCGACCTGTGAAAACACGACCACAGGGAGGTCAGTGAGTTCAGTTCTCTCGACGAAGAATTCAAAAGAGGGACTGGGAATGTCCACTAAGTCCGCTTGAAAAACAGCTCAACCTGCAGCCTCTTTGAGCACAGAGGGCTTAAAAAAGCTCGACTGTGAGTTTTAAAAACTCAAAATTCAGGGCCAGGTGCAGTAGCTCACATCTGTAATCCCAACACTTTGGAAGGCCAAGGTGGGAAGGTCACTTGAGTTCAGGAGTTTAAGACCAGCCTGGGCAACGTAACAAGACCTCATCTCTACAAAAAATTGGCTGGTCATGGTGGTGCACACCTGTAATCCCAGCTCCTTGGGAGGCTGAAGCAGAAGGATCACACAAGTCCAGGAGGTGGAGACTGAGGTGAACCATGATTGTGCCACTGCGCTCCACTAGGGCAACACAGTGAGACTTCAATTCACAAAAACTCAAAATTCACAAAGTTCAAATCAAACAGAAATGTTAACATGAAGAAAAGTCACACTGCTTAACCCTGTATGCCCCCTGCCCCCATCCTGAGGACACCAGGCTGCCTCTAGGCCCCTGCCCCAGGTCATGGCACCTGGCTCCTCGGGAGCTGTGCCAGGGGCCACCCAGCACTTGCGTTTCTTCTCCCCCGCACACTATGCTCAGCAGTGCAGGGGGCCAGGTCCTTCCCACCCTCACAGGAGTGAAGACATGGGTTTAACTCCTCACAGGGCAGGAGGAACCTCATGCGAGAGACCTTATGTCTACAAAAAAAAAAAATGAAACACATGGTGGTGCACACTTGTATTCCCAGCTACTCAGGAGGCTGAGGCTGAAGGATCGCCTTTGCCCAGGTGGTTGAGGTTGCGGGGAGCCATGATTGTGCCACCGCACTCTGGCTGGACAATGGAGTGAGACCTTGTCTCAAAAAACCTCATAGCAAACAGGAGGGGCCGGGCATGGTGACTCATGCTTATAATCCCAGCACTTTGGGAGGTGGAGGTAAGAGGATTACCTGAGCCCAAGGATATAAGACCAGCCTGGACAACATGGTGAGACCTCATCTCTACAAAAAAAAAAGTTAGCCGGGCATGGTGGCGTGTGCCTGTAGTTCCAGCTATTTGGAAGGCTGAGGCGGAAGGATCACCAGTGCCCAGCAGATCGAGGCTGCAGTGGCCATGAGCATGCCACTGCACTCCAGCCTGGGCATCAGAGTGAGACTCTGACTCAAAAAAAAAAAAAATAGGAGAAAAGCAAGAATGCCTGCTTTTGCTAGAAGTTCTACATAGAGCAATTAGGCAAGAAAAAAGAAATAGGAAGGATCCAAATTGAAAAGAAGGAAAATTATCTCTGTTCACAAATGATACGATCTTATGTGCAAAAAACCCTGAAGAGTACAGAAACTATTAGAACCAATAAAATCAGCAAAGTAGCAGGATATGAAATTAACACACAAGAAACGTTTCCATTGCTCTACACTAATGATGAGCAATCTGAAAAGTTGAAACAAACTCTTTACACTCATTATCATCTCCTCAAACTGGTTGAGCCCAGGAGTTCAAGACCAGCCTGGGCAACATAACAAGACCTTGTCTCTACCAAAAAAAAAAAAAATCATAGAGACAGAACGGTAGTGGTCAGGAGTTGGAGGAGAGGAGAATGGGGAGTTACTGTTTAATAGGTACTGAGTTTCAATTTTGCAAGCTGAAAAGAGTCATGGAGATGGATAGTGGTGATGAATGCACATTACGAGTGTAATACTACTGAGCTAAATACCACTGGAAAATATTCAAGATGATCTGGGTGTGGTGGTTCACGCCTGTAATTCCAGCACTTTGGGAGGCCGAGGCAAGAGGATTGCCTGAGCCTGTGGGTTAGAGACCAGCCTGGGCAACATGGCAAGATGTCGTCTCTACAATAAGCCAAAAAATTAGCTGGACATGGTGGTGCATGCCTGTGGTTCCAGCTCCTTGGCAGGCTGAGGGGGAAGGACTGCCTAAAGGCTGCAGTGGCCATTAACAGCATGCCACTGCACTCCAGGCTGGGTTACAGAATGAGACTCTGACTCAAAAAAAAGAAAAAGGTCAAGATGATACATTTTATGTTATGTGTATTTTACTACAATTTCTTAAAAGCCATCTAAAATGTGCCTCTTTTTTTTGAGAAATGTAGTTGGAAAATCTGTCTACTATATCACAGTGTCCTCTTTAAGACAACCAAGGGGGAAAATGTATCTGCGGTTCCTGATGTCTGTTTTATTTTTTTTATTTTTTTTATTTTTTTGAGTTGGAGTCTCACTCTGTCGCCCAGACTGCAGTGCAGTGGCCGCTGCCGGCCACCGCAGCCTCGACCTGCTGGGCTCCAGCGATCCTTCCACCTCAGCCTTCTGAGTAGCCGGAATTACAGGCGTGCGCTACCACGCCCGCCTGATTTTTTGATTTATTGTAGAGATGAGATCTCGCTGCCCAGGCGGGTCTCAAACCCGCGGGCTCAGGCAATT